TGGGGGCTACATGACTGGCTACTGCTGAGCAGAAAGAGAGATATACACCAGAGCAGATCTGATGGAGCAAATGGTCCCCTCGCCGCTCCGGGGGATAAGGTTAACATCCGAAATTAAAAGGGCAGTCCATTCCGAAAATGCAAGAACTCCCACAGACCCCCGGCGATGCTGCATCCAGCCAGCAAAGACAACGTCCGCCTGCAGCATCAGATCCAGGATGTGTGACATATTCTTAAAATGAGACAAAGCTTCCATCTGTTTGGGCATGTGACAAAAAAGAAAGAAGAAACACAACAAAAACACTGCCTAGAGTATAGAAAGCATGTTTATCCCACATTTAAAAAAAAAATCCCATAAGTGCAATGCCTGGAAAGGGCTCTAAATCCTCACGGCTGTGTAGTTTTGAAGAAAGCTGAGCTTTGTCTGGATCAAAATCTTAGATGGCACAAAAGTTTTAGGCTAATTTCAAACTAATTTTAATTAGAAGGGCATTTCTGGTGTACAGGTCTTTATGATATTTGTTTTGTTTTAATAATATATAATGTATATACAGATGAATGTATGTAAAAATAAAAAGCGATTTGTAATGAATTTGATGTTTTCTATCCATCCTTCCTTCCAATTATCCTTATTAGGGTTGCACGGGAGCTGGAGTCTATCCCAGCTACCATAGGGCGATAAGTGGGGTACACCCTCCACAGGTTGGTTGCAGGGCTAATATGTTACCATTCTTTAAAAACATATTCACTCTGTGCAGAGACTCTGGCCTTACTAGCCACATATGATTTGCCACACAAGTCTGAGCGGTTGTCACTTTTCTTAAAAAAACCAGCAAAACACCCAAAACCTCCTGACAGTGTTCACAACTAACACTCAATGTGCCCACATCTTCTTTCTCTCTAAACTGACTTCTGCCATTGTCACACTTCATGTCTCATAAGACCCTCAAATGTTTTTCTTTATTTTTGCAGTTGCTTCCTCTGTGTCTGTTCTGATTATTCTTTGAGTTTCACTTCAGCAACCAGCACAGGAAAACCACAAATTTAGCTCAGACACAGGCTTAAAAAGGAAGTGCGTCAGTGCTGCTGAGAAAAGCAATGCTCATTTAGACTGTGTACTTACTCCTAACACAAATCTAATCTTTGAACTGAAGGCAGGAAACCGCTGCGTTTTGACTAAAATGCAGACTTTCCCATCGTGGTTTTTTCTATACTCTGCTGTCATTTCACGGGCGTGTAGGTGTAGCTAGTGACATGCATGTGCAGGTGTCTCCTCCAGTCTGTCAGAGCACCACAGAAACACATGAGGGTGAGGTGACTGTTGTGCTTGTAAAGTTGTCACTCTTTGCGACTTGTAATTTTACAATGAGGGACAGAGGCACTGTAACCCAGCTGATCTATGCAAATGTATTTTTTGCCTATGGTAACATGTCAAAGCGGAGTTTCAAATGATTCTGAATGAGGAATTGAAAAAGCAGCCTGAAAAATTTAGAGTCTGCTTATTGCAATCACACATCTGCTTGCTGAAAAACATAGTTGTCAGGGTAGAAGTTATTCGGACTGCCATTGTTTTGTCATTAGGAATCTCTAGGCAGCTATAGCTGATATAATCACCGGCCCTGGTGGTGATATATTATAGATAGACTCCTTGGGTGGGCCTATTTGTTTGACAGCATGTCAGTGACAGAGTCCAAAAGAGGAAAGGCTGGACACTTAAGTTACTGTTCTTGGTCTGATTATGTCTCATTAGAAGACAAAGACAAGTTCCCGCTTTGAACTGTGGCCAACTATTTAACCGTGCTGACTGGGACGAGAGCCGCTTCACCTCAAAAGGTGAAGGAGGGAGAGACAAGAGTGTAGTGGCAAGAGCAAATGAGCTTCAAATGTGATGCTACTGTAAAGATAAGAGGAATAATGGGAACCTAAAAGAAAAATTGAGACTGCTCAAAGAGTAAGGAAATACAGAGGGGTAAGCGTGGAGTATCCGGCTTCTACTGTGTTGTCTGTTCCACTTAAGAGAAAGGCCAGACTGACTGATTGAGGCCACAGCTGCTCAGGATAGTTACAAAGCTGGCTTCCACATGATGGAAGTTCCCTCGCAAGCGATGGGCACATCCTGTTTATTTTAAATGAAGGTGAGGAACAGCAAGAATGCAGGAAACACAATGGTGAAGTGCAAGCAAGAGTGAAAGGAATTTCACCGGCACCGCTTCCCACTTTGTCATTCTAATGTGATGTTTCAGGTCCTCCATCCCGCTCTGATTCTTGCTGCTGTGACACTGCTGCCACACTAATCCACGCAGGCTACATGAAAAGTCACCAGCGGCTAATTATGCGGCATGATTTTTATTAGATTGCTCTTCAGTGGGATCTGATGTAATATATCAGTTTGGCTTTTGGGAACGCCTCCTCGTTATTGTTTATGCTCTCATTACTATGAGCTCGGCGCTTGATTGGCAGCACAGCGAAGTAAGAGGTCAATATGTCAGCCAGTCGTTGTTTAGATAACAGACAGACTAAATGATGAATGAACTGAGTTCATTAGCTGGTAAATTAGAATGAATTGATGCTATGATGAGACAATGAATAGTCCTGAGAAATGAAGACGTAATAAAAATCACGCTGTCCCCTTTACGACCCTCACCCATATACTCAGGTATCCTTGTAATAAATGTCACAAAGACTTAAAACCGCTACACACAATACTTGTTTTAAACTAGTTAGCAAGCTAATGAAGACGTAATTGAGTGCAGCAGAAAGGAGACACTTGTTATTATCAGACAATGAGTAAATGAAGCAGAGATATGGCCTGTGCAGCGAGGCCATCGTGGCTGAGATGAGTGCAGCATGCAGAGCACGCAGTCTTCTGTCATCTGCCTGATGAGAGACCGGAGCAACGCCTTTCCCCTGAGAGTCCCCCAAATGGTCCAGGCTAACAACGCTCTCCCAAGGAATTAGCTTGCTCAACCACCCAACACACACACACACACACACACACACACACACACACACACACACACACACACACACACACACACACACACAATGAATTGTAAAAGTCTGACTGGGTCTTACATAACTGAGGACTCAGAGCACTTTGTTATTCCTGCAGAGCTCACAAAAGCAGGACTTGGTGGTATGCTTTACAATATAGATATAACTGTGGAGAAGCCGAAGGATGGATTGATGCATGGATAGTGGTGGATGCCCATATTAAGCATAGCCAAAGTTTAAAATAATGAGGTCAGTCTATGTGGAAATAATCACTGTAAGTAAAAAGCTCTCAGACTTTAGACTGCTTGATTTCCAAAAGCCTTTTCTACCTTTGGATTTGTATCACGTCAGTAAGAGCAGACATCCCTAATTTGCTCATCTCAGGTTCACATCTCTTTCTGTGAGCACCACAAAGCATCTAATTGCAATGGCAATCAGAACAAAGTTGACTTAAAGTGGGTGCAGTCTTAATGGGAGAGAAGCTCTCAGGGAGAGGCTTACATCAGACTGTAGATAAATTAATAGGCTACAAATCCCAGTATAAGATAAATAAGGACTATTTTAAACTGTGAATCATGCAAAGCTACACCAGTAGGCTTAAAATATAATTTAAAATTCCCACAGTCACGTTTCCTTTTTTTCAGCTTTTGTATTTCGAAGAAATTATAAGTGGCTGTGTGCAAACATTTGAAGAAAGACTCATTTTTAATGCATGTTTGCTGCACAGGTTGTATTTATTTCTTTTCACTTCAAAAATCAAGAAAACAAGCAGTTTGCCTGAGGATGCCCAAACCTTTGACTACAGGCATAAACAATCTCTAAAATAGCATCACTTTAAAGTCGTGTGAGATATTTATGTGTAAGCCATAAATGCCTTAAAATCATTTTTGGCTCAATGAAAGTAAACACTGACCTGCAGCAGGACTATTTTTCTCTCTACGACAGTGACTGGCATAGCAATTTCCACTTTGACTGCATAAAGGTAACATAACAGCCTCCTATGTTCCTTTTCCTCAGCTCTGTATAGCTCAACACTGGAGCCTAAAAAGATGTTCCCCAGCTTTGCATTCTCGTAATATCCCACAGGGTGTTACAGGAATTCATTAAAAGTTCATTTTCTGTTCCTCGTACTTCTGCATGGGTTTTCCAGCCCCACACCTGAACATATAAAAATTGTTGGGCTCACTAAAAAAATCGCAGTTACATTATTTTAGGTGAAAACTAAGACCATGAATTAGCTAACTGGAGGGTGACGATGGTGAGTGAAGAGTTGGAAAGATGATGTTCCTAGTTCTCAGGACATAAAGATCACCTGGTTGAAGCTTGTGTTTTTTTCTGGTTGAAATTCCCAAACTTTGGATTTATTGCCACAAACATGTTGATATTTGAATGTTCCCATAGTAATATTCATTTTGTTTGCTAACAATCCCATGAGCCTCACATGTATTTTGCTTAGTTCAAACTAATGCTGGCTTACTACAGTGATGGGCGCTGTATACATCACACCCACTAAACATCAGCATCTGTTCCCAAGCAGAGCCAGAACAACGTGTAAACCTCCAGTCAACTGAAGAGAGTTAAAAAAAAAGCAAAACCAGCCGTTTGTGGATTTTCTGTGGAGTTTTTCTTAATAATAATAATAATAATAATAATAATAATAATAATAATAATAATAATAATAATAAAATTGTAAACTTACTATGAAATAACAATGCAATACCCAACTCATTTAGGTTAAAAATCCCTGTGCTTATCAGGCGTATTGCTGGGAGAGGTGGAAACAGTTTAATGGTGTGTTTGGATTTGAGTGGTTTCCGTCACGTACAGTAAATCTCTGCTTTCATCCATGTCATTTCCTGTTTTGCTCTCTGACGTCCGTCTCATTGTAGACCATGGAACAGGAAACCAGTGTGATTCCTTTTAAAGGAGT